CATTCAATACGGAAAAATGCAAGGTACTCCACCTTGGGGGATGGGGGGGGGCTGTTCCTTCATCTCATAAATAACCTGAGCAAAGGCTTAGAGCACAGAATGTGTCTTTATTTTCTGAGTCATTCTGAATGCACCTGAAGCCATTAACGGTGGCAGGGTTTATAGCCAAGGCCAAAATTAACAATTAATACAAAGCCTGGCATTTAGAGGCACTCCCCCCCTTAATTTATTTATTTGCTTTAGAACTCAAATTAAAATGAACAATGGCAAGAAGAATCTGGTGAGTGTGCAGAGACAGAGCCACTCCTTTCAGTCCTTGAAGATCACTCCAGGGACTTCAAACTTTCAGAGAGAACTGTTTGCTTTTCCCAGTCAACACAGATCTTTAATGACCATGATCGCTGGAGACCTGGCTTTTTTAATTTACTTTCTCCTTACTGCCTGTGTGTAACGAACTATGCCCAATGGGAATCTGATATCTGAATTCTGTAATAGAAATAATCAATTATAACGGACAGCAGAAAAAATAGAGGAAACAAAAGAGTTTTTTTCAGATAAGAACATTCAGACTAGGAACAGAAGTTACACATAAACCAGTATAAGTGATTGGAAACTGGTTCAGATCTGTAACACAACAGAAGTTCAGTGCATATACACCACTTTAAAAATGGCCAAAACCAGTTTAAGATAAACCTGGTTGGACATAGCATCACACTTAACTGATTTAGGTTAAATCGGTATCTTGAACTTCTATCCCAGATCCCCTCCAGATTCAAGTTAACCCACAGTCCCCCAGCATCCCAGGATGCTTTGTACCTCCTCCCACCCCTCCCCCACAGGGTGGGCAGAGTAGCCTTGACCCAAGATGTCTGCTCCAGCTGAGCAGGGAGGTGTGCTTTAGTACCCCCTGGCTTCTGGCCTGAGCCACTGCAGGCATGTGGCTACATTTCCAGAATCAGAAGTGAATGTCTGTCCACTTGCTTATCATCAGTTCAATCTATGCAACTTAGACTAATGTGTGAAGATTGAATCAATTCAGCCTTGGGCTTTTTGACTGTCTGTACTTAGCCTCACTGTTTGGGGTTTCCAATGCAATATGGAAACAAAAATCAAGGAGAGCCAATTGCATTTCACCAAAAAAAACCCATTATTTTTCCAAAAACCTGAATTTCCCTTGAGGGAAAAAACAAAATGTCCCCAGCAAATTTCTAAATTGTTCTCATTTGGATGTGAAACATTAATGTGTAATGGACTTTGATTTCCTTCTTTGAAAGTCGTGATGAAGAAGCAAAGTAAAGATCATTATTCAGTATTACGAGTACACATGTGACCTCTTTCCTGAGAGGAAAGTTGGTCATGTGATGAAGTAACTAGGTGAGGATTGAAATTGATTCATGTCATGGGTTCCCTTGTGTGCCCTTGAACTACTGTTCCATCTTTCCGCATTTCAGTTTCCCATCCAAAAAATGGGGATAACGATACTCCATTCCTCTGTCCTGTGTCTATTCAAAATGTAAACATTTTACAGCAGGAGCTAATACTGTGTATACGTACAGCTCCTAGCACAATGGGAGATTGGTCTCAATGGGCACTACTGCAGTCACAGTAAGCATGAGTGAGTGGTGCCTCCTGAATCTGGTGGGGGGCACCCACAGAAGCTGACGATGGTGCCTGGCTGGTGGGGGTACCAGCCCTACCGATAGTATCAGTGTCGGCTGTCAGGGGGAGCACCGGCCCCATCAGGGAGGCACGTGTATCCCTGTGCATGCCCTACCAGTCGCCTATGACAGTAAGGATCAGTAAACGGTCATATTAGCTTAGCAGAACCAGGGTCTGCTTCCTGTACTGCATATCATTCAACTGCATTCTTCCCATTCCAGCTGCGCTAAGTTCCAAACTGAGTTGTTGACCCCATCTGCATCAGGCCGTTTGTCCCTCTGTCCCAGCCCAGACTTGTTCCACAGCAGCTAGTTGCACAGACAGGGATTAGATGAAGTTCATCCTTGTATAAACCATGGAGATTTACATTTCAGAGGCACCATTTTTTATCTGTTTCTTTTTTCCCCCATTGCTCAGAGGTTCCCAAGCCCAGCAGATGGATCCCCAAATGGAAAAAATTAATCATCAGGAATTTCTTCAAAGTTTTATTTGTTATAATTTGTCTAACCCTTGTACCTGATGTTTTTACCAATTGCCTGAAGGGGAAATGGGCCCAGGAGCCCTCATAGTTTTCCAGTAATGTAATCTCTTTCTCCTGTTATACTTTTTTCCCTTTGAGCCTTGAGTCCAGTGTAAGACATCACACCCTGTAGCTCCCTCCTTTCCTAGCAGCAGAATTCTGATGTCATGACTGAGCTAGAGAGGTATCCAAGCATGGATGCAGAGTTTCTTGTTGCAGTGGCCTTCTTGCTCTTCATTAGCAGGAGTAGTGGTATCACAAAAGGGCTTAGGAGTCCTAGGCAAGGAGCATGGCACCAGTTATGCTGGAGTCATCTAACAAAAAGACAAGCCTTGTTCTATTTCAAGTGATTGTGGAAAGACTGAGAGGGACAATGTAGCCCCGTCCATGACTGCAAGCCAGGGCCTTAAGGAGGCCTACTGTGATGACACTAGGCAGCAGAAGGTCTTTTGGTCTACCTAGGTGCGCCTACATGTGCATTTAAGTGTGACTAAATTTAATGCACATTATGCTAATGCGCATTAAGCAATTTTGGCAAGTGTCTACACATGCAGAGACTTGGCACCAAAGTTAGTGCACTTAACACTAAAATTAGTGCCGGGTCACATCTACATGTGCATTAATGTGCTTTAACTAAATGCAAATGCAGGTATTAAATTTAAGCACATTTAGCCTAATTTCACCATTTTTAATGCACATTAAGGGTGCACACGTGTAGAGGCACACCCATAATGTGCATTAAATGAGGCTAATGTGCATTAATGCATCTTGTATAAACACGCCCTCCGAGTAATTTTTTTTCCAAGGCATTTAAGTAACCTAGCCTTTACTCCCATTCACTGCCAATTGCTTAGACATGTTGGGAAAGGGTACCCTCTGTGTTATGAGAACCAAAAGTTTGGTCTTTGTCCTTCAGCCTCAGTGAAGAGGTGACTTCTCAAGTACTGCCCATTCCTTACCAGAAAGGGCATTCATGCGGTCTATTGTGCGTTTCTCCCACAAGGGAATTTTTCTGTCCCTGGCAGTGAGTTCTAGCGCACAGAAGCAGTATCCAAAGAGAAGTCATGGTAGCTTCTAGTGCCAAAAAACCCAAAGGGTGTTGTTGTTTATCCAGTGTATGATTTTTTTTGCAAAAGCCTAAACCTGTTTGAAGAGAAAGTAATTGTTTTAATTAACATATATCGCAGGAAAACTAATCTAGTTTTTGTGAGGCCTGTTGTATGGATCCAGGCCAGAAGCAATGTTCAGAACCAGATCTGAGCATTCCAGGAGGTTCAGACCAGATTTTGATCTGGCCCCGTCTCTCTATATCACATCACTCCTTTTCAGTCCTTCCCCCTGGTTACATCAAAGATCTAGCTTTGGACATCCAAAGCCATTTAGGACCATTCCAAAGCATTCCCTGCTCCAGTAATACCCAACTGTTTTGCTCACCTTCCTTACAACCTAGGAAAGCTTCGGTTTTGTTGCTCTGCTTGTCTTTGTTGATCCAAGGTAGGGTTTTTTATTATTATTAGCATGTATTTTGTGCACAAACGCCTGGTGTAGTTTTATCAGATTTGTTTTCAGCTCCAAATCCAATTACTTGAGTTGACTTGCTGCCAGTTTGCAGGATTAGGTATGAGGTAGTGTGTACATTTCACGCTTCCTTGGGAATGCTTGGTGGAATTCTGCTCTGCTGATGTCACCAAAACAAGGAGATGTGGCTGAGCAAAAATCCCACAAGGCTGCGCGAAAGCACTGAAGATGCATCCAGGAAACCTTACAAGAATCTGCATTCCCAGCAAGACTGAGCTCTGATGATAACAAGGAGGCTGGGTTTTATCTCCAGGGGTATTAGCACTGCAATAAAGTGGATAATGCCAGAGTTCTCATGGGATGGAACTCCCATAAAATGGACACTTCCCCGTGTCCAGAGTCACTGCCACATATGGAAATTGTGCAGGGCTGCATTTGAAGATGCCACGACTGCAATTTGAAAAAAAAGAGAGAGTTATTCCAACTATTTTGTCTTTAAAAGGAAATACTGAATAACTTATGGATAAGACATTAACCCCAAACCCAGACCACTCATGGTCGTTAAAGAGCCTTGGCACTATTCATAAGAATAGGGGTGTGTTAGTCTTGGATTCCTTCCCAGTTTCCATTTTGGGGAAATACATCCTGAAAACCTAAAATTCCACCTGTATTTCTACTTGGGTCCAGACTCCATATTCGTATTTGGATCTATCTTAAGTATCTTATGCTGCTTTTCATCGTTGTTATGTCTGAGCACTTTCCATGAAAAAATAAGCAGCTACAGAAAAATGCCTAGCAGGTTTCCTAAACTCTCTGAAATGGCTCTTTTTGCAGGGATAAAAGCTATTTTGATGGGGTTCATGGTTTTGATCTTTAGAGGTGATGGATTTATTGTGGAGGAAGAGCTTGTTTGTGGCTTGGGACAATAGAGGATGCCCATGTCATTTAGATGGTTAGGTATATAAGCATTAGGCAATAAGGGAAAAGGCAACTTTGATAAACCTCAGCATTCACTTAGGGCAATATTTTGTTTCTGATAGTTCCCATCACTGGCCAGTTTAGAAGAACTCTATGAGAAGCAGAATCAGGATAATCTGGCCTATATACTAATCCTAACCTAATTTCTAAAAGTTAGAAGCTGGCCACAGCTTTGAAGTAAGCGGTTTAATATACCTTCCTGAATGTAAGTTATCAATAACAGTAATGCTTCTTTTTATATGAGATTTATATGTTACCCATATAAATCTCCAACCCCCATGTGTAACAGAGTCAGGCAGTGTATAACAACCGCCCCATTCTAGTGTCTTGCAGTGGTAGAAAAAGTAACCGCTGTAAATATAGCTAATAAAATGTTTTGGAAAGCCTTCTGGCTGAAAGGTGCTAATGTTTGGACAGGGTATGTCACCCTTTCTTAGCAATCAATGACCTTGGAAGTTAACACAGTGCCAAAGTGTTAAGAAGTGCAACATTTTTCTTCCATGGGATACTGTACGAGCATTTTTGCTGTTTTATTTCATCTGCTGTCACACCCCTTGGGTTTCACTTTATGAGGATTTCCCATGAAAGTCCTAGAGTTTCAAAACATGTAAAATCACATATTTTGCCCTAGATTTTATTCAGTCCTTTCAAGATTTAAAGCTGGGCACATTTTCCAGTCCATTAATTCATCTAACTTTGCAAACATGTTCACAAACATAATTTGTTGTTGAGTGCACAAGGAAATTCAAATCTTTATGCAAATACATAAACATATATGTATTTATGCATATACATAAACATGCGCACACACACACATATATATATATACACAGCCATTTTGCCTTGGGTTAGAAATATTTTTGCACGTTGTGGCAAAACCCGTATTATCTTGACTACAAAGAAAAATGCTTTCCACTCTGTTATCTCCATGTTTCAATTCTAAAAGCATCAATGAGCTATATGTGTCACGTATTTCTGGAGTAGGTGTGATTAATTCAATTTTATACCTGGGTAAGCATAGTAATTCCCAGACAATAGGCTATTCAGCATCATCCACCAAATCCATGGAAGGGCCATGAATTGGGCTTTAATCACAAGGATATCCTTGCCTGATAAAGGGCCAGTTTTGGAAATGGACCTGTACTGAAAAAGACTTTGGTTGGACTAGAACCTAGAGGAAGTCCCATTGAATTCAATGAGGCCAGGATTTCCCTTTAGTTTTTTTATGGTATTCCAGGCAAGACCCTTATGCGTGAACTAAAAGAGCTGCTTTACCATAGTCACCCAAGAGAGGTTATCTCCCTTCAGTTCCTCACCACAGCTCAGTGTCTGTGTACTGCTCCAGTCCCAAGCCATACCTGACTCACAGCTGTAAATGAGCCTTTCCATCCATCCCCTGGCATACGAGAAAGCGCTGACCTGAAGGGCTTGTACCAACTCCATTTATTCATTGTCTTATTTTCATCCCATGCTGATCTAGGCACAATGATAGTGTCTGTCCGTTATTTTATACAGTGGCATAAGTTCCAGTCATTGAAACCCAAATCCCAGATATGAATCCCACCCTGAATCACAAGCAGATTCAATACTCAGATCAGATGGCCTTGACTTTGGTCTCTCTGTGGATCTGAAGCCCTTTTTATATATGCTTTGTCATGTGCAATACAGTTGCGTTCCAAAGATAGCAAGGGCATCTGAGGAAATGGTAAAGGTAGCAAAGAAATTGTAGAGGTGCTTAATCTTACCTGGCTTAATGCTCAGCTGGGTAGCAGGCAGGCTTTTGTCTTTGCTAAGGTTTTGTCCCTTAAATGCCAATATCCCATGGTTCCTCACAGCATCTTCTTCAGTTCAGCATAGTCCTTTCTTCGGTGCACAGGGGACCTTTAAATGTCTTGTCCAGACTATCGTGTCCCAAGCAATCTCTGCAGTAGGATATCCTAGAGTCCATGAGGCCTCTGTGTTGCTGATGCCACTCTATTTGAATCCTCCTAGCAGGCTACCTGCTGCTGAGACGTAACTGGGTATTCCCAGAATGCACTAAAGTCCATAAGCAGCAGGGATGGGCCTGTCGATTGAACTGTGGCAGTGCTGTAAAGGTGCTGTCTGGTCACAACTCAGTGTGTGTTGCCACCGTATCACATGAAGATGTCACCAATTGGTTACAAGAAGCTGGTTGTGCTTGTTACACAAGCAGGTGACTTCAGCATCCAACCGTTCCCCTTCTCCAGGAGCTCTGACTAGAAAGATTTTTTTTAATAAGTTGTTCATGCTTTAATCAATCAGGCACATGACCCAGGATTCTTGTAGGTTTACAACACTGATTAAATTATTGGCTCCAGATGGGAACTGTCTGAGTAACGAGTGTTCGGATAGCCACAGCGCACAGCAAAGCTAGTAGAGAAGGAGGGAGTTGTACTGAGATAAGGTGGGGGCAGAGGGAGGCTGATCTTTTTGTCATCTAAATTTACAGCTGAGACATCAAGAGGAGTGCAAGAGATCTGGTGCTTTAATTGGTAACAGGGCAGACAGGTCCTTATGGATGATGGCTGGAGACCCAAAAGAAAAAAAAAATCAGGGAAAAACGCTGATCCAGCAGAGGAACATTCCAGCCTCAAAATTAATTCTGAGTAAAGTAGAGAAGAGAGCCGAGATTCAGTTCAAGATAAGCCTCAGGAATTTGGATGCTAGTCCAAGCTTTATCTGAAAGAAGGACCTGATCTAAATAGCCTTGAAGGAAGGTTGGTCTTGAGATGAAAGCCCTGCACAAGGGATTAGGAGATCTGCATTCAATTCTTCCTGTGGCGACAGAACTATGGAGCAGCCCAAAGTAGCCCTCCTCCCAGCTGGCAGGGCCACAGTGCAAGATATATGAGTAGTGGGACACAGTGCAAGATATATGAGTAGGGGGATTCGAGTCAGAATAGCAATATTCTGCCTGGGTGTAAATATCTGTACAAGGTGCAGGGCAGCTGAGAATCAGACCCATGAGCCTTGTCTAGACTAAGATGTGAAGGTGGAAAGCTAGCACGTGTTAGCTACATGCTTGTCTACACACAGTTGTTCTGGAATTGCTCTTCCTCTGTTTACACCCTGCCTTATTCCAGAATAATGTTCCTATGCATACAAGACATAAAGACATAAGACGAGGCCTACGACAATTGAATATGTTTGTATAGACCAGATTTTGGGAGAATCTGGGTTATATAGCTGTGTGCGCGTGCAGCAGAGACGACACGTAAACAGGTGTGTATGTAGGGGAGAAGTTGTACGAGCATGTATCTGTTTGCATGAGCGTGATCGCTTTAAAAGTAGCCTAGGTTTAAATGTTCTACTTTCCAAGTGATTACTGAGGGCAGAGATTGTCTCATTTTTTCATATACGTATATCTCGTCTCAGGGTTGTCATGGCAGCACTGTATATGTTTGCTGGGCTGGAAGGATCTGGGGATGGAAAATGAAGCCAGGGAGTGAACTGAGGAGAGGAATCCAGCAGGAATTTTCCTCTGCTCCTCTGTGGCCGATTGGTTAACACTAATTTAACGTGGTCTCCTGAGACCAGTCATCAAATCAGAGACTTCCAATTTCATTTTTTTTTAAATCAACCACAATTGCTCTGCGGAGCCCATTTTTCACATTAGAAATTAACCTTGCAGAAAATTAGCTGATGGGAATTGTCAGATGGGAGCCAGAGCACAAGATAGCACCATAGAAACACAAACAAGGTACAACATCTCTGCACAACATGGGGAAAGGCTGTGCCCCTGGAGAGTGATGATGCTGAGGCAATAGGACATAGTGGTTTGAACCACCAGGACACCTGGCTTCTGTCCCTGTCCTGTCACTAACTCACTCTTGGGCCACTCATTTCAATCTTGATTGTTTGCAGGAGTGCTGAGTGCTCACAACTCATAGAGAAGTTGGTGAGAGGGGCAATGGCACAGACAGATGAAAATCAGGCTCCGCTTCACTGTGCCTCAGCCTGTCAGCTGTACATTGGGGATTACAGAGAGATCTGAGCACACAATTCACACTGGCTTGCTTATTCTGTGCTTTAAGCCATGCCTTCTTCTAGCAGAATATCATAGGCAGGCAGCAGCTTCAGTGAATTCAGCCCAGGGCATCTTGGCTCTCCAGAATTGCTGGTTACAGGTGACTGTCTGGGAAGCCACACTGAGGGGGATCAAACCTAAGGGCCTTACCTGCCAAGGTATTTAGATACCTGAGGCCCATGATTTTAATAGGAGTTAGGCACCTAGATATCTTTGTGGATGGGAGCCTCAGTAGTTGTAGAGCAGCAACAAGAAAAGGATGGATGCTATAGTGCTTAGGGTGCTAGTCTTGTTCAGTCCCCTCCACTGGAGCAGGCTTTATGTGTGACATGGGACCAGTCAGTCAGGTTCAGGTATAGTCCATGGGAGTTAAGCACCTTTGAAAATCTGATCTCTTCTCAGACTGTGCCTTAGTTCCCATCTGTAAACTGGGGGGTAATGTCATTTCCCTTCCTCCCAGGCTAATGGCAAGGGTAAACATGTCAAAGTCTGAGTGGTGCCCAGCAATACAGTAAGGGGCATCGTTTGTGGAAATCTTGGGCTTTCAAAAGGTGTTATTGGGGTTGGATTTCATCTACTTTTACATTCTCAAAAGAAAACTGTGTATGTGCATGTATACATGGACCTGTGCTGCTTGGACTGATTTCTTTAATTCCCTCTGTCTCAGAGCTCTGCCCTGGGGTTTTGGAGGTCATGTCCTGTTCTGTGTTAAGCCACATCCCATCCATCCTAAGTGGATTCCATTTATTGGTCTGCTATTGTCTATTTTTGGTACCACCAACAATGCAAAATGTGTGTGCGTGTGCATGTGTGTGTGTGTATTGTACACAGTCCGGTTGTGATGTACAGCTGAATCCTTGTCTAGCTTGCTCAACTGGTATTGTGCCAGTTGGAAAGAGCCTGTCCCACCACTGCTGTGTTAGGCAGCATTGCAATCCATTTGAAATACACTGAGCACCAGTTTGCCAGCTCCAGGTTCATTTTCTATGATCTTTTGAGTAAGTAAAATATGGCCTTCTCTGAGCCCCACACACAGCACACAAACCACTTTGCCTTCAGTGAACCTAACCTCACAGTGGGCCATGGCCTTTTAGCTTTCTCACTGATTTTGCACGGACAAAAGTGACTCACCTCTCCCATCAAATGCAAAACTCTAGAACTCTTGGTTCAGAGATGATACCTTGTATTAGACCAATTAAGAAATTACAAAAAATATTTTTTTTTCAGTTTATATTTTTGTGATTTTTTTAGTTGGTCTAATAAAAGGTATCATCTCTGAACCAAGAGTTCTAGAGTTTTGCATTTCTTTTTGTCTCAGACCAACACGGCTATACCACCTCTCCCATAGACTTCAGTGAGAACTGAGGACTTTCAGCAGCTTATAGCACCAGGACTTTTGCTAGGAGCTAGCAGTTTGGGGGTTAACACACACACCTGGAAACATAAGCCTTATTTGTGTTTGTAGCCTCCTTGTTCCAGCTGTGGGCTCACCTGTATCAGTTTATAAACATGACCCAGCTCTGGCATCAGTGAGTCCATGGTCTATCTCCCTTGAAAAGACCTGTGTTGGCAACAGAGGCAACTCAGCACAGCTTTGAGGCATGAACAGGTGGAAACTTGCTTTGGCATCAGGACAAAAGTCAAATCCGAGCTCCGTTCCTGAGCAAAACTCAACTTACACGGGCAGTGTGAGTGAGTGAGTGAGTGAGTGAGTGAGTGAGTGAGTGAGTGAGTGAGTGAGTGAGTGAGTGAGTGACAGAAAATGGAGCTGCTGTCCTCAGCCAGGCACAGCAGGTTTAAGCAGGCAGTTATCAAGAGACCGATTTCTCTGCCATTTGGCTCTCTGACATCCAGTCTTGTACATGCTGTCTTCCCCAAAAGGCACATGCAATAGCAGCTCTGAACACGCAGATTCATAGACAGAGATGCATGAGCACACACAGATGTCACATATGCATACAGAGATGAACCTATCTATAAGGTGCATCCTCACATGCACACAGATGCACAAGCATGCACACAAAAGCACACCCACACATAGCACATATACACACACATAGAAAGATGCCGTATGTGCTTAAGCTTCTACCATCATACACCTATGCATACATGAACCCACATACCATATATACAGTCCTGCACATGTATGAGTACACCCCACAGACATATATCCACAGGACCATTCCCACCACATACACAAAGTGAAACACACACACACACACACACACACACACACATATCCCTCCTGTCTGCTCTGACCCTCAATGAAGGCGGTGATGGCTTTATTCCCATGCCCCCTCATCCACGGCTAC